AGTGAGTTTTAAAGATTGAGCTGATCAGATCATACATTCTTTTTGGATCCTTCTGGTATGGAGGGGCATTATTTTTCCAATTATATAAGTCAGCAGTAGAGAACGGATAATGACTGAGCACAGTCTGGGGAGCCTGTCCCTGGGCCACCTGCTGTCCTGGAAGGGGCATTTGTCTCAGCGGATATATTCCAGACTCTGTAAAATGCCCTGGAGGAGGCCTATTCGGTCTTAGGCCTCCCATCCTCCCACTGCCTCTTCACATTCTGCTGGCACTGGTGGATTCACCTGTGCAATTTCGGTTATAACCTCTGGGTTTTGGTTATTTGCGTTTTGATCTCCCGGAGCGTAAGGCAGGGGAGCCGAAGGTGTTTCAAAATCCTCCCTCCCTGCATCATCTTGCAACACCTTTAGCTCAGATTTAATCACTGGAGCTATAATCCCATACCATCCTTGCATCTCCTTATTTTTCCACAATGACATAAAAGCACTGACATACGTAACTTCTTCCCACTTCCCATTTCTTTTGCAAAACACATACAGCTGTAAAATGTCATTATATTTCAAACTGCCACTCAGTGGACACATTGCTCCATCCTCTAATTGGTGCAGCGGCCAAGCTGTTTGGCAGTAAAACTTCAATTTTTCTTTTGTCATGGGATCCCCTCCAAACTGTTTCCAGTGTTTAAGGGTGCATCCAAGAGGACCACGTTCTCAAATCTTACTCTGCCCACCTCCAATTTTCTTACTGGCACCTCGGGTCGCCTCCTATGTTCTTTCTGATCCCTGAAACCTCAGCAAAGCCTCACAGGTGAATAAGCACTGGTCTTGGTGTCCGGATGCTGAAACGTCGTCAGGCCAGCCCCAGTTGATCAGAGAATAGATACAGGACTTATACCCATTCCAGATGAGGTGCTCACCAGATGAAGAGTGAGAATGCAGTCCTTCCCCAGCCCCTTCGGCCTTCCTTGCCACACTTCTTAGGTGTTGCACCTTTGAGTCTCTGATGTCACCCTTATGTCAGCCCAAACACCCAACTCTGGCTTATTTAGCGATGGCTCATAAACACACACTCTCTCTTTTGCAGCATTAGGAGGGCATGCAGATCTTAACAGTGTAAGAGTCGCAGCATTCATCACTGATTAAAGGCTCTGTGAGACGCAGGCTCGTACAAAGCAATTTACTCAGGTGTAATGCATGTGTTTACAAACAAAGCCAGGGTTGGCTTGGCACAGGTTACATAGCATTTTATAGTCTCCCCGTTTCCCGTGCTTTGCAGGTCCCGCCTGCTAACCGCCGCTGCCCGCCTTTGCCCATCCTTGGCTCGCCCCTTGCCCTCGGCTCTCCACGCCCCAGGCCGATGGCAGGTTCAGCCAGGGTCCTTTGCTTTCTGCTGCTTTGCTTACGTCGCAGGTCCCATGAGGCTGACTCATGATTGCTCTTGATGGGCGGCTGAGCGTGGCTTGAGCTGCGGAGTTTTTGTCTTCATTGTCGGCTGCTTGCCTGTGGCGGCTAGGGAAAGTCCGTTTGTTGCAAGGTAATTGATTCCTGCCGCGGGTTGATTGCCACCACCTGTCGGCAGTTTACTTGCGGTTTTGCACTTCCTCTTTCGATCCCCTGCGCCTGAGGCAAGGAAGCTGACTAGGCGTGTTTGAAATTGGCTAGGGAGAATGGCGGCTAGCTTGGAAGGTGTGTGCCGTGCCAGGCTGAACCTGACAAACAGTCTCTCTTGCTTTCCTGGAATATCCCAATCACCACTCAATCCCAGCTCATGGTAGCCTGTTTGCAGCGGAAACCGCTCAACACACAGCCCGGGTAGCCCACCGGATATTTTATATTCAGGGAACGCATGCGCACACACACCATTCAACCATTCACTTTATGTTTATCGGTGTGCACTGTTGAGTCTGATGGCTGACAGTCTGGGATCGGCTTGGCAGAACCAGGCAAGGCCTTTAGGTGTAGCCCCGTTTGGTGGGCCAGAAATTGTTGTCCCAGAAAGTGTGGATCCTTTACCTGGCGTGCAGGCCCAAGAAACCACACCAGATAGGTGGACAAGAATAAAGCTTTATTTGCAACCAAAAGGTTGCCCAGTAGTAAGTTCCAAATGGGCACACCCCTGCCCAGGGTGAACACACTTTTATACAATTTTGAACAGCGTACATAACTGTAGACTAATCAAAAGGCATACATTCCTTCAACATACATTCCTACAAACCAATCAGGAAGAGCAATGTCATACATACATTCTTAGTAATCGTAGTTAACATAGTTTTAACTGAGGGTTAGGAGGTAAAGAGGTGCCTTAAGGTTTTATCTTATCCAACATTCCCAAGTAACTCAGTACCAGGGTCCTATCTATTACCTAACCAAGTTGGCATTCCTAAATAGATAGGCAGATGGTCTGGGTTTCATCTCTTGCTGTCATATCTACCCAACAAGCAAGTTGCCCAGAGGTCAAGGCACTCCCAATGGATACAAGACATAATAATTATATTACGCGCTTAAATAATAAACAAAAGCATACATGAATAAAAGTAGTTTATCAATACAATGCATGACTTAAACTAAATTAAAACAGGCTGTCCCATCATCTACAGAGTGCAAGCAGGAAGGGGAGGAACTGGGGGTACAAGTAACGTTTTTCTTCTTGGAGGACATGGCCCAGCAAAAGAAGACGAATACTGGAAATGAACTGCACAGCTGGGGCCAACAGGAATGGTTTGATTCTTCGACAATGGGATGGATTTCGGAGCTGAGGGACCCCTGGCAAAAGATCTGCTGCACTTCAGGAGGAATGTGTTTAGAAGAGTCACTTTTTGTGAGATGGGCGGTATCTAAGTTTGAAATATAAATAAATAAATAAACCTGACTTCAGGGGCTGTAAGCTAATGCCTGCAGGTGATGGAAAGAGACCATCAAAAGTAGAACACCTAGATTTGGACTATACATGCGAAGAAAAAGTTCCTCAAGGCGTGTGGGTAGCCGCATGTGACATCAACCTTGGTGGCTGCCCAATTGATCTACCCTCCCAATGCTGGGCATTGATTATGGGGATGTGGCCAGTATGGGAAATGACCCCTTCCCCTGCTCTTCCTGACGGGAATGACCCATCCCACAACTGATAAATAGAATCAAACTTTTTTAAACATGTAAAGAGAGGATATCAACGTTCCTTTTTAATTATAAGTAGTCATATATGAAGCATTCAATGGAGCAGAGGATAAAAATATAGAGCATCTGAAAATTTTTTTGGGTGGGCCTACTACAATACCATGAGCTTTGAGCAAATTGGAGATGATACTGGAGCAACTCTGATGGGTCAATTTGCATAAAGCACACAAGGTCCAAAAGTGTATGGAGACAATGTTCCCCAGAGGCAATAAATTAACCTTCAATACATACAAACTATAAAAGTGAAAATTAATCTGGCACAATATTTCTAGCTAAATTTGCTCCTTATTCCTTAGGATAACTGAACACCTGGAGCAAATGCTCCAGTGTTTCCGTGCTTTCTCAGTCCTCTTTCTGGCAGCTTGTAGATTTTTTCCCCAGCCTTGGCACACCATGGCCTCTTCCTTTCCTCCAGGAATTCTCCTGTGGTCTCTCAAAACCATTATTCTTCTTTGGCACAAAGGGAGCAGATAATAGCAAAGACATGGCTAGAGGCTGACTTTGAAACAGATCATGCATTGCTCATGTTCAAATTCCAGGTTAAGCTAAAGAGGATGAAAGCTAACCCTTTTCCACCATATGGTCTTCAACATATACCCAACATATTCAAGGGGAATATCAGAAATCTCTGTGAAATCCTGAACCTCATTGACAGAGAACCAGAGGAAGTGTGGAATGAACTTACAGAAATTGTTAAAGATGAATGTGAAAATAGACTGCCAAAGAATGAAGAAACTGAAGAAAGCAAGCTGGATGTCAGAACAAACCATGGAAATTGCCAAGAAGAGAAGAGAAGCCAAAGGTAAGAAAGACAAAGATCTCAGAAAGGAACTTAACAAAGAGTTCCAGAGAGCAGTTAGAAGAGACAAGATGCAGTATTACAACAGCATCTGTAAAAACACTGAAGATGAAAACAGGCATGGAAAAATAAGCAAAGTCTTTCAAAAGATCTCCAAATTTATAAGGAGTTCCCACCTTGAATGAGTAAGCTCAAGAATACCAGAGAAAACTGATGCCAAGAAGATCAAAGATGGAAGGTATATACAGAAACTCTGTATAGTAAATATGTTCTTATCCAAGATAGCTTAGAAGACATTCTCTACTTACAAGAACCTCTAGTACTAGAAGCTAAAGTTAGATCAGCATTCTGATTATTACCAAGTCAGAAGGCTAAAGGAATTGGTGGAATATCTACAGAAATATGGCAAGCAACAGAAGAAGAATTTGTAGAGGTTCTACTCAAACCATGCCAGCAAATCTGCCAAACGATATGGTGGTCAACAGATGGAAGAAGTCAATCTATATTCCAATACCAAAGAGAGAAGACTTAAAAGGATGTGTAAATTATCATTCAATACCCTTAATTACACATCCTAATGAAATGATGCTTAGGATTATCCAATGCAGATGAGAGCCCTACATGAAAAGAGATGCCAGATGTTCAAGCTGGCTTTAGAAAAGGCCAAGAAACAGGAAGCTTTGTAGATGATGCACATTGGATAATTGAGAAAGCAAAAAATATCAAATAGAATCAATACATGGTTCATTGATTATAGAAAGGCCTTTGATTTTGTCGATCATGTCAAGCTGTGGAATGTGCTTAAGGAAATGGGAACCCTGGAATATCGCACTGTCCTTATGCAAAATGTATTCACAGGTCAGGAAGTCACAGTGGCTACACTAACCTCACTAGAAGATTAGTGAGAGAGGGTCATTCTAGCCACTGCTTAGTCACTTAACAATTAAAGGATTTGCCTGCAGGAGGCAAAGAAGAGAACTGTGCCATTCTCTTCCTGTGCAGAGCTTAGCCCCCCTTGCCTTCCCTTCTGCTAAATCTTCCAGAGGTTCCTGAGCATTCGGAGGAGATGGCTAGAGATCTCCTTGGTTTTGATGCTGTAAATTAGAGGATTCATAAGGGGCGGGAAGAGGATGTAGATGTTGCCCATGAGGACGTGGAGGAGCGGAGATGCATGCTGCGCAAACCGGTGCACGATAGAGAGCCCAAGCACAGGAATGTAGAAGACTAGGACAGCACAGATGTGAGTGATGCAGGTGCTCAGGGCCTTGAGAGGGCTGCGTCCACTGGAGGCCATGCCCAGGACTGCCTTCAGGATTAGGCTGTAGGAAATGAGAATGAAGAGGAGGTCTGAGCCCATGGTGAGGAGGATAAGGCTGAGGGCATAAATGTTGTTGAAAGTGGTGTCACTGGAAGCCAAGCGAATCAGGTCCTGGTGCAGACAGTAGGGATGGGACAGTCTAGCAGCGGGGTGGTAGTGGAACTTTGCAAGGAAAAAGAAGGGGGGCATTAAAATTAGTGTGCTCCTCAGAAGGAGGGCAAGGCCAATTTGTGTGACTCTGGTAGTGCTCAGCAGCTCAGAGTACCTCAGGGGGGATTTGATAGCCAGGAAGCGGTCCATCGCCATGGCAAAGAGCACAGATGACTCCATGAGGGAAAAGGAGTGGAGGAA